TTAGTAGAAAAACTCCTAATGTCTAAATGGAACGGTTATCCACATGTTTTAATTCATTCATTTTCAATTGTGCCTTCAGAACAAAAAGTTAACCTTACATGTAATTCTTGGATAACCTCATGTCCTCACCCTCATTAACACTATTAACAAACGTTTCTACTAATAAGCTGATGCTTCCTTTTGCTTGTCATTTCGCTGTGTGTAGAGGCAAATTTTAGCATTTTGGAAAGATTTGAAATTAAAAGGCTGCCAAAATGATGAACGTCTCAGTATGTATATAATAAGCACAATACCACATGGAAAGTGCTTTACACGGCGTATACGCACTCGTTTTTGTATCAGAAATCCAACTCATTCGATTTCTGATACGTCAACAACTAGTGCGTAAATACCGTATAGAATACTTCATGGGAAGTACGATAGTATGACCTTTCTTTATGGATTGATGTAGCACGGGGTACTTTCTTGCCGGCGGAGCCGCAACGCGAAGCGAGCGGAGTAGCCGCTCTTGAAAATCCCAGGATTTCAATTTGACTTGCTCCCAATCTTCCCTCGGCTCCGCCGCCGAGAAACAACAGCATTCGCCCACGAATCCCGCCAGGTACCCAGGCTATTCACGTATTTCCAGATATGTTACTTGAGTGCGAGGCACTTCTTTTCCAAAAATCATAAACACAGGTTACTGTATGTTGCACTGTGATGAAAAAAGTTGAGAATTGATCCATTTGGTGAGTTGAATTCACTGCAAAAGAAAAAACGTTCAGTCAGCCGCAAGAGGCCTAAATTCTCAAAAAAAACAAACAAAATGATATCATTAAGCAAGGGTGAAATATCAAATAAAATGCATAATACTTTTAAAAGCGCTTGCAGAGTTAGCGCGTGGAGAGGTTAAATTTCTGCCCACAGGTAACAACAGCTTAGTAAAGAGCTGACTACCCAGAATATAAGCAGAATATAATAAGTTAGTGCGTGGAGAGGTTTTAAAATATTCTGCCCACTCTTCCTCGTTGCACTCCTTTGTCAGCTTAATATGAAATAATTTATCAGAATTAAATGTCTCCGTTCATTAATCCAGGCTTCTTTTGTTACATGAGCAGGAAATGATCCTTGCATCGATGGAAATTACAAAGATCTAAACAATGGCGATCGGAAAGTGAGTTATATCTCGTCCAGTGATGACAAATGTGACAAAAATGACCTAGCCAATGAGTGGGATTACTGGTACAAAGTGTCAGGAAACGCCGGCAATGCGTTAGCAGCTGTAACAGTCCCGGATGAATACGCCTGTGGGACAGAGACGCAACTTTATCTCCAAGGAAATCATCCTAACCCACGCTAGGGCAAGGTCACGAGAACAATTTGCTCCCGTACAAAAAATCATGCTTGCCAAAATGTTGCTTCCATTGAGGTTATAAACTGTGGTGCTTTTTATATGTACAAGCTTGTTGAATTTAAAAATACCTGTAATCCAGATGGATGACGATACTGTACCAACGGGATGGAAGGTGACTATTCCTTAAAAATGTTGATTATACTGTTATTTATTAAGAGATAATAAGAATAATCCTATCACAACAAGATAAATTTCACGAACGTGACCCTGAGTATGATATGAGGAATAATGCAAATCTGGTCCGCCAAAGTGTTATGCTATGTTATGCTTCATATCATAAGTAATCCGAAAAACCAACGGAAAAAGCGTTTTCGATCGACATAGTGCATGACGGTTTGGGGTTCGTCGAGGCCTTATACGTGCCTGGTAGAGTAACAACAACAACAACAACAACAAAACTGGAAGTCTACTTTGGCAGTCACGTTTGTAAAAAACAGCTAGTTTAGTAGAGTACACAATGACGCATCATAAATCCCTAAGTTAACGTCTTTTTTTAACACATAGCCTCCTGTGGACGTCGTTACCGTTTAGCTCCTGATCTCGGGGCAGTCAAGTTCATAAGGGAACGCCAAAAAACCTGTGGTCTCATTACTTAACCTATTTATAAACGTATGTCTTTTTCAGAGGAAAAATGTGCCAATGTCAATTGCCCTAACGGTCAGACATGTTACCTAACTGAGAATGGCAACAGTTATGAATGTGGGGATCTGAATGGTATGAAAAATGAAACATTTTCGTTAGCTCATATTGCCTTACTTGCTCAGTCACAACGAAGTCAATTATCTTTGTGTTTTTTTTTTTGCTTCATCAGCTGATCCTTGCTCGTCTACCCCATATCTGAATGGTGGTACTTGTTCAAGTCGATCAGGTACCTTTACGTGTTCCTGCCCAACGGGATTTACTGGAGAACGATGTGGTACAAGTCCTTCACTCTCACCATCACTATCATCACCGTCACCTTTACCTTCCCCTTCACCATCACCGTCATCACCATCATCATCCTTATCATCATCATCACCAACAGCATCACGATTATCACCTCCATCACAATCAACTTCACATTCACCTTCACCGTCGCCATCATCATTACAATCATCACCAACATCACCTCCTCCATCACCATCACCATCACCTTCACCAACACCATCACCATCATCATCTCCATCATCATCTGCTCCACCATCACCATCACCATCACAAACATCATCACCAACATCGCCTCCTCCATCACCATTATCATCACCTCCACCATTACCATCACTATTACCATCATCGTCGTCGCCATCATCAACATTACTATTATCACCATTATCCTCACCATCAAATACATCTACATCTTCATCATTATTATCAACGTTACTGACATGCACACAATACCCATTGTCATCTTCACCTTTATCATCACCAATACTGTCACCTTCGTCTATGGTTTTTTCAAGCAGTTCTCAAGGTAACATCAATAACTTGGTTCACTTTCAAAGCTCATATTCAAACGTGTTTTTTTTTCTGATTTATCTTACAATCCAATTATTTTTTCTAGACACGATTTACCAGACCTTTTCTAGTACTCCTTTAGATAAATGTTTTTTTGACGACCGAAGTTTGAATTCAGAATAGACTTGAAATTTAGAACGATTCTTTACATTATTGTGAATTTTAACTCAAATATGTTTGGATATCCGCTGCCCTGATTTCAGCATTAATTAATAGTTGGTAGACATTAAATTCTGTAAGCAGAATACTGCGATGCTGATCATACTACGTAAAAATTAACCCTGCAAGACATCAACACGACACCGAAAGAACTCAAAACAGAGCGGGATTGTAGCCATAGACAGCTGTTTCGCTCTTTTTGGGGCTCGTCCGTATGGCGCAAAAACCAGATGAAAAATATCCGCGCACTCTGATTTGTTTGTTAAAGATGTTTTAACTTCCCTTTCAAATAAGGAAACAAGAAAAACGATGTTATCTTTCGGTTTGATGCTTTCTTCATTTTCACGACGTTATTCTGCTTATACACAGCAACGCAAGCATCGTGCTTCAACAATGCCATTGGTGTTGCCAATAATTTTGTCGTTTCTGGTAACAAGATGACTGCTTCTTCAATAAAAACGGACCACGCAGCTTTACGTGGGCGACTTAATGGCAACAGAGCCTGGTGCGCTCAAAGCCCTAGCGGTACTCAGGACTGGCTGAAGATTGAACTTGAAATGACAACTGAAATATGTGGTGTTGCGACTCAAGGGAGAGAGGATACTGATGAATACGTAATATCTTTCGAATTGGAGTACTCTTTGGATGGCGGTGGCTGGACTGCTTGTCAGGATTCAAGTGGCTATGATAAGGTTAACTTACTTTTTAGCTTAGAAGGAAGTTGTAGCTTAGGTCGAGGAGGTAGCGGTGTACGGTGTGTATATTTTGGCGTGGTTTCTGCCACCTAGTACAACAGATTATAACCCTGCATTCAAGATGACAACACGTTCAAGGAAGGGGACAAATATTATTTTCTACATTATTTTCGATACTTATTCCGCTGGTCGACTTTGCGATGAGGCTTTCTTGATTCAACTCGACAATATGTAATTCGATAACAGTATTTATTCGATTAAGCACCCAGGACGCTAATTGAATATTTGACCTCGATAGTGGTGGCTGAGTAATTAATATTAAATTTTCACCATTTTAATTAAGAAGTTGTAAGTTCATCTTGGAAAAAAATGAAATGGGGGTGTAGAGGGGCTGCCACCCATCTAAGGTTTTTCTGATTTTTTTCATAGACGATAAAACATCAGCACCTGAAGTTTTATGTAGCTGTTCGATTATCCCTCGCGCGCATTTTAAGCCAAGTTAACTGATGGTCAGTTACTATGGTTACGGGATATGACGTCATAAGCAGTGGTTAACCCATTTTTGAGTGAAAATGCATGTTTTTTCAATTTCTTTCAAGAATAGAAGTAAAGCTTGAGGATAAAATGATGCACAGTAATTATTTGTGTTATTTTACATGTTAAGCGCAAAAAAATTATCTAACTCTTGATAAAATCCAAGATGGCGACCATTTTGGTGACGTCACAGACCTCCAGCAGCGCCACCACCAATAAATTATACCTTATCTTGTAGAGAACACTGAAGGCAAAATCGTTTCGAAATATTGCAACATTTCAAAAACCCAAGGGAAGGGGGGAGGGGGGTTAGGAGTTGTTGAAGGGTCCATCAATTCACCCTTGTACCACGGTCGGGTATGACTTTGAGTGTACGTCCGAGGGTTAATAATAATAACGGGTGTCAGTAATTAAAACGCAGGGTCGGGGTCGGGGCCGAGGCCGGGGTCTATATTTTTTTAAAGAATGCTGTTTTAGGGCTAGGATTGGGGTTGACACTAACCCTAACCCTGAAGCCTTACCCCGACCCCGCGTTTTACTGACATCCAATAATAACAAAACGAGAAGATGAACCCAAACCGAAATTTGAACTGTTCACTGAAGATTTCTTCAAAATGCCAAAAAAAGAAACCTTTTTCTTTACGGCAGTAGTATTTATTCAATTTCAATCTCAGAAAATTAATTTAATGATTTTAAGGTGACTCGACCCAGTTTTTTTTTTTTTT